TCCTCTCTCTGGCTGCAAATGCTGTGTGCCTTTTTTTTCCAGTTCTTAACTTTGTTCCCCCAGAAGCACTGCCACCGTGGCTGATGGGCTCAGCCTTGGCCAGCAGCGGGTCCATCCCGGAGCCGGCTGGTGATGGCTCTGTCGGACACATGGGAAGCTCCTAGCAACTTCTCACAGAAGCCGCCCCTGCAGCCACCCCCGCTACCAAAACCCGGCCACGCAAATCCAATACCCAATACACTTTCTTAAAAAGCACACCCTTTGAACAACAGGAAATACAATCCCAGTATCAATTCATCAATTGTCAAGGCAAAGGAAGAAAATAATCACGTGATGCAATCTTTTTTTTTAACCAAAAAAGTCTAATGCAGTGTATTTTTATTTTTATATACATGTATATAGAGAAAGAAACCACTCTGAAGGGACCTTAAAAGCCTATTTGATAACACTGCATTGCTTGCTTTCTATTTTGAAATATATTACCTGTTTATGAGGTATTTAAGATCTTCCAGACTTGGTAATTCTCATGATTACCCACATACTACACAAAAACATTTTAATTAGGTTATTTAGCATGTATAATACATAACACTTGAGCAGTTCTTCTGGGGAAAAAACAAACCCAAAGAGTGACATCTAAATAGCTGAAAGTACTATATGACAGTTATGATAAAGTATCAGCAGAAAAGAAACTGGATTTATCTGTCATAAGTTCCTTCTGTTTGATAATCATAGAACATAATCCGTACATAGACAGCAATGATTTAAATAAAAGAAACCAGTAGTATTGGCAAGAAAGAAAAAAAAAAAGATAATAGCTTTTTAAAATGCCAAAATATTATGATTTAGATGCTTTTACATGGCAACTAAAAATAACCTTGGACGCCTAGCTTCCAGAAACAAAATTTCTTTAAACACAACAGGCATATACAGAAGTATACAAAATCTCACCTGACACCAGATGCAAAACTTTTACAGTCTGCATTTATAAATCCCGAAGGTTGAACAACTGCAAACTTCACAGATGCAGCAACCTGCAGCTTACAGGTGCAAATTTATTTTTAAACCTATACTGTAACAGCACTGCAAGACCTTGCTTGAACAATAAATTTCTCCCTATATCATTAACTTTCCTGACATTAAATAGTCATTAAAAAACAGAAAATGCATAAAAATATGAGATCATTATTACATTCATATTTAGATAAAATACTGCTTGTATTTACCTATGTTTCTTTTTAATATCAGCGAAAATCTGAACGTTCTCTGCTCCAACTTGTTTTCTATATCGTAGCAGGTTACCTGCACAGGCATTTATAATCCCTTCATCAGCAACATGAGAAAACACAAACCCTTCAGCCCGGATAAAATCAAGACCTGAAAAAAAGTAAATAGCAATATCTTAGCTAAAACTGAAGACTGAAAACCAGAAATACTAAAACCAAACAAAACCCCACCTTACTGTCCCTCTTATTTGATCCAAACACAAGTTGTTCCATATGCTCTAGGACTAACCAACCTTACTTTTCCACATATTTAAGTTTTACGTTCTTTATTTTCACCCATATTCTGTCAGACTTCTTTCCACCTTACTACCTTCAACTCCCTTCTCCCTCATAAGCCCACCAGCTTTCTCCCTATCCCCATGGTTCCCTTCTCTTTCTCAGACCCTATCAGTTTGTTCCCATGTGGTTTGGAACAGGCGTCTGTACACCCTGTCTTGCCTCTTGCCATGTCATGGCAGTGGGCATGTGCTGACAGAGGAGCAGGTAGGTCAAAACACAGCTCCTTTGTCCAAACAATGGGTCTTCTCTCCAAAAAGGGTCACTAACTTGGGTCTCTCTCCTCTTTCCAGACACTCTTCATTGTATTACTTCTTTCCCAACATCTATTCCCCTGCTAAATAAGCCTGGAGTTGGACATCAGGTCAAAAAGCATCAAGGACATGGACACAGACAGAGGAACAGCATTAAGTCTTCTCTCTTTAGGAAATTAGGCAAGGAACTGTGACATTTAGTCTTCAGACAAAATTAGTCTGTGACACATTATATACAATCTGTTTGACTTTCCATCTGAATGGAGCTTGTGTTTTCTACACAGCACCACATCAACAAATTACTTCTAGAGCTATGCCGAAGGTACAAAAAGGTAAGGTTTGGGAAGAGCAAAACATTTTCCACTCTACTCCAAACTTACTCTGACCATCAACTCTACTACATCTTAGCAACACAGTTTCTACCATATTAATTCATTTTTTGCACTAGGAAGGTTTTGTGGGACAGATACTTAAGAGGAAGATTAGGAATAGCAAAAAGTTCACACAGGCCATTCATCTACTCTCAGAGGAACCCCTACACAGCCTTGTTGTGTTGAAATACTGAAGCCTTGGGCCATGGTATAATAAGCCCACAGCTGTGAGGCACAAAATTGAATTCTGACTCCCTTATTGCCTTCCCCTCTTCTCTTCAGTCTGTCATAGCCTTGAAGTTTATTTCACCTGCCACTTAACATATGTGTGAAAGCTCTGCATTCATCTTGTGCAGCTTTTGCTGTTCTTCCAGTTTGCTTTAGAGGTCTCTTTCAGGCCGTTCTGAAGCTCCACTCCTGCTCCAGCTTTGGAGTCAGCTGCACATTTAATTAGAGCTGACATCATAGCAAGGAAACACATGCATGTGAAAGCGGCCATCATGGATGCAATCCCACCCACCAGAGAACTGCTTAGACAACAGAGCACCTCAACACATTTCAAATATAAACGATGTTTAAAATGTATTTACCAAACGACAAGGTGCCTGTTTATTTTAAAATTTCAGTTTTGTTCCAAAAGCCCTGAAGTTGCAGAAACAGAAGCTTATGCCTGATAGAGAAGAGCCTGTATTGCTTAGCAACACAGACTCCAGCTAACAAGAAACATCACAGATGGATGCCAAATCACATGTGAACGAACTGTCCTGTGTCTTGAGATTAAAGGGTGAAAAGCATAGAGTATTCTCAGGATCTAAAGACAAGAGTGTGCCATAAGTATAGCTACAGGTACTAGAAAACGTTGGGTAATAAACACAGTACAAATAGCTAGACTGAGATTTCTGCATCTAGGAACAGAAGTTATAGGTTCTATTTAAATCACCCAAGTTGACAGTACAATTCAGAGTTAAATAAGAAAAATTACTTCTCCTCTAATCGTAAGACTATTGATGAGTCCAGAGATATGTTAAAATTTCACAGCAATCATAATGTCTAACTCGGGACAGGGGGTATTCACTGAGTAATTTCATTTATTGAAGTCACTGCTTACATGTTGTTTGTTGATGTTTGGTTTGTGTTTCCTTAACCTGGTAATTTAAGACTTTCTGCTAAACATTAAGATTGTACTTAGTTTAACAAGGCTGCACTCTCTATCTGGGTTTTCGGTGGCTATGAAAATACAAATTTTAACCAACTGTAATAGGTGCAGGCACCAAATCATTACCCTTCTGTTTTATGAAGTCATAATCAGATTCCGCTAATGAATTCATTTTTACGCTCATAAAATTGTGAGAATGATACTATTGCTTACTTTCACATTTGGCAAGTTGAAAAGTAATAGCCATTGAATACTTAATAGGCAGTCCCATTTCTGACTTCATATATGAACAAAAAAATTTTGTAATCTCACTGGAAAACAGGAACAGGAAATTTCCAATGAAACCTAATAAACAGAACTTCAAGACTGTATTAAGAACATGGAATCAAGTAACCAGCTGCTGCAGGACCTAGTTCCTTGAACAGAGCTTGTCTCTTTTGAAAAAGTTAGTGTTACTCCATTTACTTTAATCCTATTTAAACAGCTTTACCTAAACAGCTGTGGAAGTCTATCAATTGTAGAGAGAAGCTTTATTTTTTTTCCTTCATTACCATGATAATTTATGATTAAAAGGAAAAATATGACAGATCGAAACACTTCTTTTGCTGGGTGAGAAAATACTGCAAGACTGAGTTGAGGGAGGAAATAGTACTTTTACTTTATTAATCTTAAATGCTGCAAATGTGCATATTACTGCATTTTAACACCACGAAACAGTGAATCGGACGCAATCATTGAGAAGCCCTTTCTTAGGTATGGTCATTCCTTGAGTTAAAGTCAAAAGCAGCTGGGAGCTAGGATTTACTGCTCTCACAGAAATGGGCTCTGGCCTCTGCAAGGCAACAGCTCCAGGTTGCTGCTGAATTTTGGACTTCAGGCAAACATCTTTGCCTTTACACAAAGGCAAGATGCTGCAGGTAACTTTACTGGTGGTATCTTGTTTTATATGCACAGTATATCTTGGCTCCTGGCTCTTCTTGCCTTCCTAATTCAGAATGAATCTGAAAGACTGATTTTGTGCTGAAAATGAAAACTCAGAGGAGTATCGACTTTGCCTGCTATTGATGCTAAAGGTATACAGTCCCCAGGCTGCGAAGACCCTTTACTACTCAGGACATTGTCTTGCAGCAGCTCCTTCCACGCTCAGCATGAATTGCAGGCCTGGGAGAAGTGTCTCCAGCAGGGCTCACAGCAGAGGCCACAGCACTCACTGCCCTGCTCCACAGCACTTGCGGGTGCTGCCAGGGCATGGACACCCCTGCTGCTCAGCTTAGCTGCCTCCCCCCACTACAGCATTAATACGGTGGCAGCTAAAAAGAAAAACCAAAAAGCAGTATACAATTCTGCCCAATTCCATCCCACCTTAAACAGTATCATGGGCTGTAGCAAGTGAATTCCTGTGGAGGATATCTCTGCTGGTGGGTGAGGGAAAGGAACGGTCTCAGACAGCAGAGCTGTATTTATAAAAGACATGGAGATACCTGGGATATCTTCTGATATGAAGACTCACTTAATCAGCTACCAACTGTGTCATTATCATTAATGATGACTAATTCAGAAATGGGATTTCAGTAACATGATCCTTAAAGGAAAAAAAAAGGCAGTTTCACAGTCAGGTGGAGATGCAGTTGGACTAGACAATTATTTTAAGTCCTTTCCAACTGAACTATTCTATTCTAAATTTATGAGATGAGAGAAGATAAACTTAAAAACTGAGCCCTGATTCATGACAAGTGTAACACAGGCTCACCCAGGTGTAG